ATATCATCAGAGGCACCCTGTAGGATCCGGGCCCTGGTCCATAGACATCCATAGAATACCTCAGGATCGGGGCTCAGATCTGCAGAAGTCCTTGGGGCATCTTCAACGGCGCGGGCTCAGATCCTTAAAAACCTAAAAAGCCTTCCCCAGGGAGGTGGGCTCAGATCAGTAGAGCCCGCTAATGCATCCTTAGGGGGCTGGTCTCAGATTCTGCGAAGCCCGTAGAGCATTCGTGGCAGCCTGGCCTTACACCCCAAGAAGCCCAGAGGGAATCTAGATTATCTGGGTTCAGACCCCTGCAAAGTTCCAGGGAATCCGCAAGGGTCTGGGCTCGGATCCTAGCAGTCCCAGACGAACCCCGAGGGATCTGTGTCCAGATCCAGAAGAAATTCGGAAGGAATCCCGAGGGCTCGGGGTTCAGATCGATAGATTTCCCTGGTGAATTCCTGGGGATCTGGACTCATACCCCCAAGGATCTGGGTTCAGACTTATAGGCGCCCCTGAAGATTCTTCGGGGATCTGGGGCTCACATTCCAGAGCCCAGGTCTCATGGACCGCATAAGCCAAGGCCCAGGACACATGGGCCCTAGATTCCAGGGCTCTGGACCCTTGGCTCTTAGCAAATAGGGCCTCATACTTTAGGGCCCTCGTCTCTATGGCTCAGCGCGCCTGGGTCGTAGTTTCGAGGTCCCAAGAGTCTTGTGCCCTGGACTCCATTGCCCAAGGCTCCTTGGAGAAAAAACAGATGGCACGGGGCTCCTGTGCTTTGGAGTTCAGGCCTCAGGACCCTTGCTCCAAAGTCGAAGATTTCTGGGCCCTAGAGTCCAGGACAAAGGACTCCTGGGCCCGGGGCTCCTCGAGGCCTTAGCTTCCAGGGTCCCGGACGCATGGGCCCTTGACTCCAGTGCCCAGGATGTCGTGAGCCGCAGATTCAAAGGCACAGGACTTCTGTGCCCAAGATTCCAGGGCCCATGATTCCCAGCCTGCCTGCAGACTCCACGGCTAGAGGCTCTTGGGCTTCAAACTCTAGAGCTCAGGACTCCTGGGCATTCGCCTCCCTGCACCAGGGCTCCTGAGTCTAGGAATTTCAGGCCCCTAGACTCCAATGCCAAAGACTCGCGGGCCGTAGATTTCAAGGCATTGGGGTCAAGGGCCAAGAGTTGTTTCGCCCTGTACTCCAACGCCGAAGACTTCTGTGCCCTTGAATCCAGGGCCCAATGCTCACGGTTCTTAGATTCAAGGGCACTGGAGTCTTTCTTGGGCATAAGACTCCTGGGTCTTAGATGTCAAAGCCGAAGACTCCTTGGCATACGTCTCGAGGGCCCGGGATTCTGGGGTCCCGTCTGGGTCCTGGTCCGCTTGGCCCTGGATTCCAGGGCTCAAGATTTCTGGACCTTAGATTCCAGGGCCGAGGGACAATACGCCTTAGTTCCCAGCTCTGATTATTCAAGCTCCAGGGCGCAAGATTCATGAGCCCTAGACTCGTGGGCCTAAGACTCCTGGGCTCGTGATTCCACAGCATAGGATTCCTGGGCAGACTTCGCCCAGGGTCCATGACTCCCCGGCATCGGATTCCATGGCCCGAGACTCTTGTGCCCGAGATTCCGGGAACCAGGCGCCCCGGCTTTAGAATTGAAGTTCCAGGACGCTTGGGTTTAAAGTCCAGGTTCATGGTTCCTGCGCTTCAAACTCCAGGCCCAAGAATTGTGTTCCAGGACCATTGATTCCAGGCCCCCAGCCCCCAGCTCCTCGCCTGAGCCATCGCCCGAAGCCTTGGCCGCGTGCCTTGACATCAGCCCGAGCTTCAGCCATCCGCAGCCCCTAGCTCCAAGCCCTTGCCTCGGCCTCACCGTTCAACCCTACCCGCGGCCCCGGAGTCTTTGCTCTTACCCCTACCTCAGCCCAGCAACTCTCCCCAGCCTCGGTCTTTCAGCCCTGGCCGTTGCCTCAGCCTGGGCCCCAGCCTCTGCCTCGGCCCATCCACGGCAGCAGGGCATTCGTTTCGTTGTTCGGTTTGTTTTGTTTTGTTTGGCACAGTCTCGCCCCCCGTGGCCCAGCTCAGCCGTAGCCGCAGGCCGAATTGTTGACGCTTCACGAATCCCCACCAGCCCATCCAGAAACGATGCCCAGAGGAATTGCCTCGATCAGGGAAGCGGGCAGCACACAAAGGAAGGGTCCCCCAGTGGAGGCTTCTTGAAGCGTTTTTGGGGCCTCTTGGCGGTCCCGGACGCCTCTTAGAGCGTCTTGGGTGCCCCGGAGAGCTTAGTGGGGCCTCTTGGGGGTCTTTGGGAGCCTCTTGGAGGCCTCTTGGGCGCCTGTTGGGACCTCCTGGGGCCTCCTGGACGTCTCTTGGGGCCCTCTTGGGCCATCTTGGAGCCATCTTGAGGCCTCGGCGAGAAAGCCACAAACATTGGTTTCCCCCAGGTTTTGGAAGGATGTGGGCCTCTTCGGGGCCTCCTGGGAGAGCTCTGTGGCCACGTGGAGCTGTCTTGGAGCGGTCTTGGGGCCTCTTGGAGCATCGTGGGCGCCATCTTGAGGCATCTTGGGATATCTTGAGCCATCTTGGAGATCATCTTTGGCTCTCTCAGGCGCTCTTGGAGTCATCTGAAGCAGTGCCCCCCCCCCCCCTAGGAGGCCAACATGTGGCCAAAACCTTAGTAAAATCAACGATGTTGGCATTGTCGCCGAGGCCTCTTGGAGCGTTTTGGGTGCCTCTGGGGGGCCTCTTGGGGCCTCTTGGAGGTCTCTTGGAGGTCTCTTGGGAGCCTCTTGGGGGCATACTGGGGGCCTCCTGGGGGCCCCTTGGGGCTTCCTGGCCACCTCTTGGGGCTCTCTTGGGGCACCCTTGGGAGCCTTGGGAGCGCTCTTGGGGCCATCTCGGAGGAGATCGATCACAGAAGCGGGGGGTACGGATTAGAGCCGCCCCCTCAGAAGGCCACAATGAGGCCACGAACCCTAGTGAAATCAATGATGCTGGCTTCCTCGCCGAGGCCGTTTTGGACGCCCTGACGACTCGCGACCCCCCCCCCCGCCAGGTCCAGGGGGAGGGGGTAGGGGGAGGGGTCAAGTTACCCCCTCCCCGCCCGCAAGCCGTCTCGCTCACTCCCACCCGCCCTCCCAACACATACGTAGCACCCGAGTCTGGCCCGAGCCTGAGCATATTCAGCAGTCGTCTTGGGATGGACAGCTACTGGGGGGCAATCTGGCGCCGCCGCCCCCCGCTGCCAAACCGCCGCCGCCGCCGCAGCCACTGCCGCCACCGCTACCACCGCCGCCGCCGCCGCCGCCGCCGCCGTCGCCGCCTCCGCCGCCGCCGCCGCCGCAGCCGCCGCAGCCGCCGCCGCCGCCGTCGCCGCCGCCCCCCGCTGCCAAACCGCCGCCGCCGCCGCCGCAGCCGCTGCCGCTGCCGCCACCCGCCGCCGCCGCCGCCGCCGCCGCCGCCGCCGCCCCCGCCGCCGCCGCCGCCGCCGCAGCCGCAGCCGCCGCAGCCGCCGCCACCGCCGCCGCAGCCGCCGCAGCCGCCGCCGCCGCCGCCAAGTGTACTTTGTATTGTATTTTGACAGGGATGGTGGGGGGGGCGCATCGGGTCGGCTGCGCATGTTCAGAATTTCGAGGCAGAGTGTGTTTTGCATGGTTTTTTATAAGGGATGGTGTGGGGGTGTCGGCATGGACCCTGGTTGGCCCCCAGTCGCCTGGGGGAGGGGGTGTTTATTAATAGGGAGCAGTGATAAACCCCTCCCCAAAGGGGAAGAAGGAGGGGTGGAAGAGGAAACTTTCTACACCACCGACGCCCAGAGGGCTGGTGGGATTAGCTGTTCTTTTTGTTTAAGTCATAGCCTCCCTGCCAAAACCTCCACATTCGCTGAAGCCCCAGGTGTAAGCCGTCGCCGCAGCCCGATGTTTTGTTCGTTTCGTTCTTCGTGTTGAGTTCGCACATCCTCGAAGGGGACCTCGCCCCTCGCCATAACCGCAGCCTTGTGGCCCTCACTGCAGCCCTGGTTCGTTTTTCTTTCGTTTTGCTTTGTCGTTTTGTTTGGTTCAAGCACCAGCCAGAAACTCGCCCCTCGCCTGCGCCCTGGCCCCAAGCCCCAGCCAATGCTGCCCTGGCCCCATCCTTCGTTCGATGCCATCGTTGCGTTGTTTGTGTTTTCAACGTGGTCTGTGAAGTTCAGTTGTTCGTTTTGTCGTGTCGTTGAATGGGGGCATCGACTCGATGTTGGTTGTCGTTTGGTGCCGTCTTCGCTCTCGGCGTTCGTTTTAAACGTTTGGCTCAGTTTTGCTTTCGTATCTAAGCGCCAACGCGTTTCCATCGTCGTCGTCCCGGAAGTCTACGACCTTATGTTGAAGACCCTAAACCATACGACCCGAGCCCAAAGACCCGAACACGAAAACCCAAACCATAATCCTACGATTTTTCCCCTCACCTCAACACCCGCAACAACCTCGATACCTTCCACCTGGCTCTAAAACTTCGCATTGGGGGCCAAACCGTGGCCCCAGCCAGAACCGCCATCCCCCCTCGATCATGATCCGAAGTCCCTGACCCGAACCATAAGGCCAGCATCCCACGCCCCCGAGCCAACCCTAATGACCGAATCCTAACATCCGAACATGAGCCTGGAGACCAGAACCCGAAGACCCTACCATAGGGAACACACCCCTACGACCCTAATCCGAAGGGTTGGACCCCCAACCCTAACCACAACCCTGAGACCTTAAGTCAAACGCCCTAGGCCAAAGACCAGGAATCCGAATCCTACTTCTGTGATCGCAAGGCCGCATCCTCACGACCCTGACCGTAAGACTCTAACCCGAATGCCTTCAGCCTAGGACCCTTCCCAAATACCCGTACGCGATCCTCCGTAGCCATTTTGGCTCAAGCCATTTGGGCTCAAGCTTTTTCGCCTCAACCACTCTGTGGCGCTCAAGTGATCGCGTCTCCTCGGCGCACGCCTGCTTGCTCCCGCTGCAGACCAGAGCTCACACCTCATCTCGCCCGCATGGCGCCGCACCGCCGCAGCGAAGACATGGAGCTCAGCAGCGACAGCGACGCGGCCGCGCCAGCCGCTGGCTGGAGCACCAGCAGGGTCCTCGGCTGCGCGGCGCTGGCCTGTGCCGCCTGCGCCGCGGGCGGCTTCGCGGCAGGTGGCGGCGCCAGCTCGCCAGGGGGCGGCCCCGCGGCCAGGCGCGAGTTGCTGCAGGTGCTGGCAAAGCCGGCTCGGGAGAAGTGCAGCGACGTGTCCGGGGACTGCTTCGATACAGCGTGCTGCGACGTGGCTGGCTTCACCTGCTTCGTAACGACCACGCCTGGCTCGGCCCAGTGCATGAAGAACTGCACGCCCAGCGAGACGACGGCCTGCGCGGTGCCTGTGCCCAAGGTCGGCGAGCCGATGTACTTGGACAACGCCGTAGCACCTGGAACATCGATGTATTGCTTCTCCGTTTACATGGCAGACACTGGTAGCGATGGCAAAACCGAGCGCCCGGACGAGCTGAACTTGCTGAAGGCGGCGTACGACAGGAAGATAGGCATCTTCGCGTGCGAGCAGTGGGGCATTTTCAGCGACAAGCCAGGCGACCTGGCCCCTGGCGTGCCCTTCGTGGCGGTGGACGACGCCGATGGGGACTTCCACATTCTCAAGCGCAAGGAGACCGGCACCTGGATTAACACAGGCTTGCACACACAGGTCTGGAAGGCGATCAGGGCGGCGGGTGACTACCAGCGCGCCAGCTGGGTGGTCAAGGTAGATTGCGATGCGGTGTTTTTGCCGAGCCGCTTGAGGCCCTTCCTTGCCTCCCAGGGCGAGCCTGGGAGCGGTGTGCCTGGCATCTACCTCGAGAACTGCAAATACTGTAAGTGGGGTTGGTTCGGGAACTTGGAGATCATGTCGCTGACTGCCGCCCAGACGCTGTTCCCGAACATCGAATGGTGCAAGCAGGTCCTGGATTGGAAGACGGGAGTGGAGGGCGGCAAGTACGGGCCGATGGGGGAGGACCTGTTCGCTCAGAGCTGCTTGGACGCCATGGGTGTGCGCCGCGGCGGGGCGTTCGACACTACTCTGGACGCGGCCTGCGAGGCGGATCGCCCAGAGGACCAGAAAAAGAACAAGAAATGGAGGCCTGACTGCACGGAGAGGAAGACCGCAGCATATCATCCCATGATGAAGGTGGGTGATTACGTAAAGTGTTTCGAGAAGACGGTGGAGGCGTTCGGATACTGAGTTCTTGGGAGACGCGCTCTGCGAATTACTTCGAAGAAGTGGCAGCGCAAGAGCTGTTGCCCGATATTCGTGCACAGTTCAGCCATCAGCACGTTTTTTAGCTGCCACGAGTCAACGTCCTCGTGGCTGAGTGCTCGGTCGATGCGAGGCCCGTATCCTCCGAGGTGCGCTTGTGGTGGACCCACGGCGCGCAATTAACATACACATGATGACCTCTGGGATGTCGCCAGGGGGAGATGACTTCTCCTGCGGTGACCTATCGATGCCGACTGCCAAGCTGGAGGCTCTGAACCCAGGAGTTGTCATGCCGAAAAAAATTACCCGTACGCGATCCTTAATGTTTCAACCCTGACCCTAAGGACCCCACCCAATATTTTGACATAAACCCTGGGGCCCGAGTCTTAATCCTACGGGCCCAGCCCTCGCCATAACACAAAGACCTTAAACTTGCGGCCCTGACCTGATACCTAAGATGCGAACCTTATTAATCGTCGGGCCCTCGCCTTAAAACCCGAACCTTAATATCATTGCCCAAAGGCCCTAGACCTAGTTCGAAGACTCGAACCCAACCTTCAGGCACCCATCGTGCCCTAACCCTAAGACCCTAACATAACCCCAAGTCTCTAAGCCTAGTGTTCTGTCACGACTTGCCTAACCCGAAGTCTTGGAACCGACGGCCCGCACCTTGACCGAATACCGAACCCTGAGACCCTCAGCCCAACCCGAAGACCCTAAACCTATGAACCTGACCCTACGACCCCCATCCTGCCTTTACGGCTCTAAACCCAACCTTAAGACCCGATCTCTACGATCCGACCTAAAGAATCGCCATACCGGAGACCATGCCCGAAGACCCGAACCGCAACCCTAAGACCCGAACCTGAACACCACAACCTTCGTGCTCTAACCCTAACCCTAATCTCTTGCCCGAGCCCGAAGAATACCGTAGACCCGAACCCTAGCCCGAAGACCCTGACCTTGGTACCCCGAAACTGAGGCCCGAAGCTGAAGACCTTGACCCTTGAACCTTAACCCTAAGTCCGTACACTCCAGGGCCCTGACCCGAATCCCATCACTCTAACCCACACCCGAAGACCCCAACCTTAACCCGAAACCTTCGCCTTGATTCCCGAAGACCCTAAGAGCCTAAACCTAACCTCAATTGCCCAAACCCGAATTTTAATACCTTAACCCTGCCTTTCAGACCTGAATCCTTGCCCGAAGACGTGTGATACCTTAATCGAAGACCATAGCCCTAATCCGCAGAAGCTGATTCGAATGCCCTTCCCTAATACCCCAAGCATACCCGGAAGACCCAAACCCTGACCCGCGACCCGAACCTTAATGCCCAAACTTTGAGGCTCTAATCCTAAATTCGGAACTTCCGACCCTAGCCCAAAACATCGAACCATACTTTCTCAACCTTCGGCCTCTCACCCTAAGGCCCTAAGCCTGCCCTTAAAGACCATTATCCTAGGACCCTATCGCAGCCCTAACCGCACAGCGGTAACCCTAGCCTGACGGCCCGAACCCAAAGGTCCGAACCCTGTCTCAAAGACCTTAGATGTAAGACCCAGACATGAACCTTAATTTCCAATCATTAGGTCCTTAACGCTAATATTTGAATCTTCACACCCGACCTTTGCGACCCTAACCCTAATAACCTAACCCTAACCCGAAGTATTTTATTATACTTACCCTTTGTCCCGTTCCCTACCCCTCAACCTCTTCCACTGAGACTCTAACCCTAGCCTTGCGACCCCGGCCCTATGCCTAGGACCCTACCCCTGACCATTCTATTTGACTCACTAGTACCTTGACCCCAACGCCATAACCCTAACCCTACCCCTAAGAGACCCGAACCCTTATATTATAACCCTATGACCTCTCAAAATGTTTACCCCTCGCTACCCCCCCTTACTCGCCGCCGCCGTCAGACGACGTCGTCGACCGACGACGAGGACGACGCCCCCCTTCCCTCACAAGGAAATCCCGAACTCGACCCTTGAATCCCCAACCGCGGGGCCAGAACTCCAAAACCTGAACCCTAACCCCAATTCCCTACCCCGAGCCCTCAGCCCCAGGCCCTAAGACCCAACTCGGAGACGCCGCCACTAAGATTCTAAACCTAACCCCCAAGACCCTAAGACGCCAACCCTAAGGCCCTAAACCTAAGGCCCGAACGCTGGTCCTGAAACATTAGCCTGGCGAAGGACCCCACCATACGCAGTTGTTAGTACCGTCGTTGTATGCACCGCATTCGGAGGAGCTCCCTATAAGGCCACGAAACGTTTGAGGACTGTGCCAAAAATTGTCCAGTTGGCGCATGCGAGAGCAGCCGCTTGGACCGTCGGTGGAATTCCCCATGGGGCCACGAAACGCGTGAAGGGTGTGACGAAATGGGTGCGGGTGACGCATGCGAACGCAGCCACTGGCGACTTCGGTGGAACTCCCCATGGGGCCAAGAAACGCGTGAGGGGTGTGCCCGAATTGATGTGGGTGACGCATGCGGGCGGTGGCACCGGGGCCTTCGTTGGAGCTCCCTATGGGGCCACGAAGCGTGTGAGGGGTGTGCCGAAATGGGTGTGGGTGACGCATGCGGGCGGTTGCACTGTGGCCTTCGGTGCAGTTCCCGATGGGGGCACGAAACGTGTGAGGAGTGTGCCGAAATTGATGTGGGTGACGCATGCGGGCGGTGGCACTGGAGCCTTCGGTGGAGCTCCCTATGGGGCCACGAAGCGTGCGAGGGGTGTGCCGAAATGGGTGTGGGTGACGCATGCGGGCGGTGGCTCTGGGGCCTTCGGTGGAGCTCCCTATGGGGCCACGAAACCTGTGAGGGGTGTGCCGAAATGGGTGTGGGTGACGCACGCGGGCGGTGACACTGTGGTCTTCGGTGGAGTTCCCGATGGGGGCACGAAGCGTGTGAGGGGTGTGCCGAAATGGGTGTGGGTGACGCATGCAGGCGGTGGCACGGTGGCCTTCGGTGGAACTCTCTATGGGGGCACGAAACGTGTGAGGGGTGTGCCGAAATCGGTATGGGTGACGTATGCGGGCGGTGGCACCGGGGCCTTCGGTGGAGCTCTCTATGGGGCCACGAAGCGTGTGAGGGGTGTGCCGAAATGGGTGTGGGTGACGCATGCGGGCGGTGGCACTGGGGCCTTCGGTGCAGTTCCCCGATGGGGGCAACGAAACGTGTGGGTGGTGTGCCGAAATGGGTGTGGGTGACGCATGCGGGCGGTGGCATTGGGGCCTTCGGTGGAGCTCCCTATGGGGCCACGAAACGTGTGAGGGGTGTGCCGAAATGGGTGTGGGTGACGCATGCAGGCGGTGGCACTGGGGCCTTCGGTGGAGCTCCCTATGGGGCCACGAAACGTGTGGGTGGTGTGCCGAAATTGGTGTGGGTGACGCACGCGGGCGGTGACACTGTGGTCTTCGGTGGAGTTCTCGATGGGGGCACGAAGCGTGTGAGGAGTGTGACGACATGGGTGTGGGTGACGCATGCGGGCGGTGGCACTGGGGCCTTCGGTGGAGCTCCCTATGGGGCCACGAAACGCGTGAGGGGTGTGCCGAAATGGGTGTGGGTGACGCATGCGGGCGGTGGCACTGGGGCCTTCGGTGGAGCTCCCTATGGGGCCACGAAACGTGTGGGTGGTGTGCCGAAATGGGTGTGGGTGACGCATGCGGGCGGTGGCACTGGGGCCTTCGGTGGAGCTCCCTATGGGGCCACGAAACGTGTGGGTGGTGTGCCGAAATGGGTGTGGGTGACGCATGCGGGCGGTGGCACTGGGGCCTTCGGTGGAGCTCCCTATGGGGCCACGAAACGTGTGAGAAGTGTGCCGACATGGGTGTGAGTATGCGGGCGGTGGCACTTGGGCCTTCGGTGGAGCTCCCTATGCGGCCACGAAGCGTGTGAGGGGTGTGCCGAAATGGGTGTGGGTGACGCATGCGGGCGGTGGCACTGTGGCCTTCGGTGGAGCTCCTTATGAGGCTACGAAGCGCTGTACTGGGTGGGCGAAACGCAGGGAGGAAGGAGGAGGGGGAGGAGGGAGGAAGAAGAAAGGAAGGAGGAGACGCGGGGACCGTCTCTTCAAAACGAGGACCGAACACCACAGGATGGTTGGGAATTAGCCGTCAGACCCTGACCCTAATGCCTTAACCCTAACCTTCTACCTTAACCCGAAGACGCTATTCCGAAGATCCTACCCTAAGACCTTAATCTTCAAACCATAACCCATGTACCCGAATGCTAAGACCCATGTGCGAATTGCAAACCCTACGACCCTCACCCGAATACCCTCACCCTAAAGACCCTATCCTAAAGATCCTGACCCGCACGCACTAATTCAAACCTTCCGACCCTGAACCTGACCCGAAGATTCTGACCCCAGTTCTTAAGGCCTTAGCCTTATTTCCCGAACCCTAGATCCCAAACCCTAAGACCCTAGCCCTAGACCGAAGACCCTAACCCTGATATCCCAACCCGAAGTCAACGACCCTTGCACCAACCCTACGACATTCACCTGAACACATCAACCGTAAGAACTCAACCCTAACCTGGGAACCCTAATCCCAAGACCGGAGCCCGAATGCCCGAACCCCAGCCCCAGCCCCCTGAGCCTTGGGGCCCTACCCTCACCCGGGCCCTAACCTCACGACCCCGACCCTAACCCAAGTACCCTAACCCTGAGACCCTAAACCTCGGACCCTAACCTTAAGATCCTCACCCTGAGAACCTTCAGGCCCTGGTCATTATACTGATCCCCTAACCCTAGGGCCCGAAGACCCTAATCCTAAGATCCTGGCCGAAGGACCCTAACCCTAAACTAACACCCTATCCCTGAGATCCTACCCATAAGACCTTGACCGTAGCCCTAGCCCTAACCCCCTCACCCTAACACACGAATCCTCATACCCTAATCCCGAAGACCCTAGCCGTCACGCCCTAGCTCAAATCCCAGGACTCCAAAACCTACCCGCGAAGACCCTGACCCAAACCTGATGACCCTAATTTGAATACCCGAACTCTAAATCCCGAACCATAAAACCCGAGCTTGAATACTCAAAACCCTAAGCCTAAGACCCGAACCGTAACCCGACGACCTCAACCCTAACACGAATGCGCTGAAAGCTCCGGCTCCAACCCTGGGACCCGAACCCTAAGTGCACGACCCAATCTTTCATACCCTAACCCTGCGATCCTAACCCTAAGATCTCAACGCAATTCCTGAGATCCCAAGCCCAACTCTAAGACTTGACGGCCACGATGGCGATGACGACGATGACGACGATGACGACGACGACGACGAAGACGAAGACGACGACGGCGACGATGGCGATGATGGTGACGAGGAAGACGATGACGACGACGATGACGTCGGCGTTGGCGATGATGACGGTGATGCCTATGAAGACGAACGACGGTGACGACGACGATGACGACGACGACGACGATGACACGGAGGGAGGAGGAGGAGGAGGAGGAGGAGGAGGAGGAGGAGGAGGCGTTCTGGAGGTCTGGGGCAGGTCCGGAGGAGGTCCGGGGGAGGAGGGAGGAGGAGGAAGAGGAGGATGAGGGCGGAGGAGAGAAGAGTAGGAGGGGGAGGAGGAGGAGGACGGTGAAGGAGATGGTCTGGAGGTCAGGTGGAGGTCCCGAGGAGGGCCTAGAGGAGTTTCCAAACCGTCGGTCATCTTTGATTTTCGTTGATTGGTTCAGTCGATGTAAGTCCATGTTTGATTTTTCGTCGCTGCTGGTCGACGTTCTACTTTCGTTGAGACTTTCTATATTTGTCAGTTTATCGTAGGTTTTAGTCGACGTTTGATTGTTTTGCTTTGTTCGTCAGTTTCCGTCCATGTTTAATTGTTTTTTCGACGATGCTCGTGGAAGATCGATATTCTTCACTTCTTCGTTGACTTTCGTCGACAAGCAGTTCCGACAACAACGACGATCACGACCATGAACACGACCACGACCATGACCACGACCACTACCACGTCGACGACGACGAGGAGGACGACAATGCAACAACGACGACGTCGCTTCGTAGGTTTTTTGTTTTGAAAGTTCTGGGGGCTCTCATCACCACGGCAGAGTACAGCTCGGAAATCTGATCAGGATGGACTGGGAGGCGATGGGAGCCCCAGCGCCTCTCCAGTGCCATCCTGGCGCCGTCTGGAGCTCTGGCTTCGTCGGCCCTCGTCCCCGCCCGACGCAACAACATATCCTGGCGAATATCCCAACCATATGCAATTGTGAGTACCGCGTTGTGGGTCTCGGTGGAGCTTCCTCTGGGGCCACGGAGCGTGTGAGGGGTGTGCCGTAATGGGCTCGGTGATGCCATGCGGGCGCTGCCCTGGGGCCTTCGGTGGAGCTCCTTATGGGGCCACGGCACGGTATGTGTGAGGGATGTACCGAAACGGGTGCGGTGGCGCTCCTTGTTGGGCCACGAAGCGTTTGAAGGATGTGCTGAGCTGGGCGCGGTGGTGCCATGCGGGCGCTGGCACTGGGCCTTCGGTGGAAAAGTGTGAGAGGTATGCCGAACTGGCCGCGGTCGTGCCATGCGAGCGCAGCCACTGGGGCCCGCGGTGGAGCTCTCTACATGACCACGAAACGTGTGAGGGGTGAGCTCCCTATTGGGCCACGAAGCGTGTGAGGGTTGTGGCGGAATGGGCGCGGTGGTGCCATGCGAGCGCAGCCACAGGGACATTTGGTAAAGCTCCCTACGGGGCCACGAAGCGTGTGAGTGGTGTGCTGAAAAGGGTGGGTGGTGCCATGCGAGCGCAGCCACTGGGGCCCTCGGTGGAGGTCCCTATGTGGCCACGAAGCGTGTGAGGGGTGAATGGGCGCGGTGGTGCCACGCGAGCGCAGCCACAGGGACATTCGGTAGAGCTCCCTACGTGGCCATGAAGCGTGTGAAGGGTGTGCCAGAGCGGGTGCGGTGGTGCCATGCGAGCGCACCCATTGGGGCCTTGGGGTGGAGCTCCCCACGGGGCCACAAAAGGTGTGAGGGGTGTGCCGAGCTGGGTGCAGCGCGGTGGTGCCATGCGAGCGCAGCCATTGGGGCCCTCGGTGGAGCTCCTTATTGGGCGACGAAGCGTGTGAGATTGTGCCAGAGTGGGCTCTGTGGTGCCATGCGAGAGCAGCCACTGCGGCCTTCGGTGGAGCTCCCTGTAGGACCACGAAGCGTTCGAGGGTTGTGCCGAAATAGTTGACTTGCGCGGAGGGCACAGGCAGGGACGGGAGGAGGGATGAGCGGGAGGAGGCGGGAGGGAGGGAAGGAGGCAGGGAGGCGGGGCGCTGTCTCCTCAAAACGAGGACCCAACAGACGCCGAGCATTCCTCCGACCTCCGACCTCCATGAAGGCGGCATGGCTTGTCGACCTGCTGGGAAGAAGACCGCAATCGTGTCAGAGACAAGACGAGCGGACAAGGTCCGCAATCCCGCTCGGGCACTCTGAACCTCTGTACACCGCATCTTTCCGCTTCCGCCTCCAGTGCCGTTGTCGACGATGCTCGCTCCGCGTCGTACCGCAGGCACGTTTGCTTGACCCCCCCCCAGGCGGGCGAAAGATACATCCGCGTCTTTCGCTTTAGACTCGACGCAAACCGAAAGCGAACCCACCTCTCTTGTCGACGTGCTGTTTGTCGGTGGTGGACGCAGCCCTGGTGTAGCAACACGCCCTCCAATAAAAACGACCCGGCACCGGACCGCGCGAGCGCAGGCCCGCAGAAAATGCGGCCGCAACACCTTCTCGATAATCGAAAGGGGCAACTCGCTAATCGACTTGGCAGTATCGGCGTCACCATAGCGGTCGTAAGTATCCTCGTCATGGGCGGCCCTCTCTCCCAGCCTCTGGCCTGGCCCGTTTGCTTGCCGTTGCTTTCCCTTCTTCCCACCCTCGCCCCCTTCGCCCCTGCTCTCTGCCTGCTGTCTCGTCCTATCCTTTCCCGCCTGCCCGCCCGCTTGCCTTGTCCCGCCGATCCTGGCCTCCCGCCTGCGCGTTCGTCTTTGCGTGGTTGCTGCTCCCTCCCTCCTTTCCCGCTCTTTGTGGCCTGGCAGCTGGGGGGTCTAGCGCCGATCCAAGAAATCTGCGCGGACCTCCGGGCGTTTGGGTTTTTGTTGGTTCTTCTTCCATGCAAGGTGAACAGTTGTAGGAGTTGGGCGTGCAGACTTATTGGCACGTGGCCCTTGTCAGGCGACCGGCAGCTACAGTAGTTGCAGGCATTGTCGATGCTCGATTTGCTCAGGTCGGATCGGAACCGAGGGCGCGTGTCAAAATGCAATGCATTGCCAGTTTCGACAGGTCAGCTTCATCACTATACCACCGCACGAGTTGACGATACGCAGCACCATGTTCCGTGGATCTCGGAAAATAATTGAATAAGGACACGCTTGGCCGAGCGGAACTACACGCCACATCCTCTCTCACCTAATCTTTGCTCCTCTTCCTCCTCGCCTCTCCTCCCCTCGGCCTTGGGCCAGCCTCGGGCGACCTCTGCGCATGCACCGATCCGGGGCCCCAGGTTGGGCCCGGCCAGGATCGGTGCAAACGTGTATGGCTTCTCTCTGCCAGCGAGGGCAGGGCTCCATCAGGGGCAACGTTAGGGTGGATACGCTCATGGGGGATGCATCGACCCCCAATCGCCCATTCATCGCCGATAGGGGCCCGATCGGCCGCCCCGCCCAGGAACGTGTGGAGTCGCTATCTGGGGCCTGTTGCCGATTTATCGGCGATGTGCCCCCGATCCCAAGTCGATGTTTCCCCCCCCCCTGAGCTGGTCTTCCCCAATCGTTGCCCCTCACTCCAGCGGACCGCCCGAGATCAGTCATTTGGGCTCATGCCCGCGGAGGGGGCGGCCGCGGAGTCCGGCTCCGAGATCGGGTCCACCGCGCGCCCGTCGTCTCCCCAGCGCCTGCGCAAAGAGGTCGCCGAGTGTCGAAATGCGGCCCCGCTGCGCCGCGAGGGGGGGAGGCACGCACCTGTGTGTCGTTTCGGCTGCGATTCTCGGAGGAGGGCGAAGTGAAACAACGCTAGGTGGCCGGGCGGCGCCCTCGTCGCCACGGCTGGACGCAGCTCGGACAACCGGTGCGTTTGGATCCTGGGAGGGATCCGGGGACCGACTTTGAGCTGCTCCGATCAGAGTTTGGGCCCTGAGGGATGGGCCACTCGAATGAAGGGCCTCAAACAACGTCAACTCAACCTGGGATCCCTTCGCATCCTCAGGACCGCATCCCTCAGGTCCCTGGCTTTAAACTGCGGATTCTAGGCTGCGCTCTCAAACCGCCTGCTGCAGGAACAGTAACAGCAGCCAAGCGGGTAGCAGCAGCTCGAACAAGACAGATCTGCATAAACATCCATTTTCGGACGCTCGCGCGGATTTCTGAGACTGTGGGTGGCACCCCTCTGACGGCGCCTCCGACGCCGCCCCCGGCGCGATCCGCGCGCCTGGGAGGGATATCCAGCGCCGAGCTCGGAAATTTGCGCGGACCTCTTGAAGTTTATGCTCAGAGTTTTGATTATCATTCTATGGATGGGCCTGGCCAGGAGCGGCGCGCGCGGGTGGACAGGTTGCATCACCCGTGAACGGCCCCGCACGGCCGGAAGCTTGTGTTTCTGCAGTTGCGCTGCCCTCCCAGCATTGCGAGCAAGGAGGTCCAGAGTCCCTGCTCAAGGCTCTGCCCACCTGCCCGCAGGGGCGTAGTCGGGCAGACCAGCCCCCAGCCAGCGTAGTCGGGCAGACCAGCCCCCAGCTGGCGGGCAGACCAGCCCCCAGCCGGGTGGATGATCCCCTGCGCTCAAGCAGTGGCGAGGCGTGTTGGTTTGCCTTCAGGCCCACCAGAGAAGATTCTAACAATCGTTTCTGGTTTGCTGGAAATGTTCTTAGAACATTCCTGGTTGAAATCGTATTGTATGAACAATCGGCTGTATGTCATAAGAACATTGATCATGTTATCAGAACACCTTTTGTTCTAAGAAACTCCCGTGGGGCATGCGCTGGTTTCGCCGGCGCTGGTTTCGCCCCGCTGGTTTCGCCGACGGATGGTTTCGCTGGCGCTGGTTTCGCCGGCGCCGTCGTCACCGTGGGCGGGCGGACCCTAGCGGGCGGGTCGGGTCGGGCGGGCGGACCCTAGCGGGCGGGTCGGGTCGGTCGGGCGGGCGGACCCTGACAGGCGGGTCGGGTCGGGCAGGCGGAATATTAAAGTGTGGGGCACGCTCGACCGAGCACGCCCGAACCCTATAAGGCGGGCGGGCGGACCCTAGCAGGCGGGACGGGTCGGGTCGGGCGGGCGGACCCTGGCGGGCGGGTCGGGTCGGGTCGGGCGGGCGAACCTTGACGTGCGGGGCTGGTCGGGCGGGCGGACCCTAACTATCCCGGTCGGATTTCCGTACAATTGCCGGAAACATGAACAAAAACATCGTTTTGTATGAATGTATCGCATGGCGCCGCCTGGCCGGAAACCGAAACAATCCCCGTAGAAAAAAATTAGCCTGACGAAGGACCCAACCATGTGCAGGTGTGAATACCTCAGTTGTGACACTACCAATTTCGGTGGGGCTCCCTATAGGGCCACGAAACGTGTGAAGGGGATGGGTGTGCGGGACGCATGCGGGCGGCAGCATTGGGGCCTTCGGTGGAGCTCCCTATGGGGCCACGAAACGTGTGAGGGAGTTGACGAAATGGGTGTGGCTGACGCGTGCGGGCGCGGGCACTGGGGCCTTCGGTGGAGCTCCCTATGGGACCACGAAACGTTTGAGGGGTGTGCCGAAATGGGTGTGGCTGACGCATGCGGGCGCGGGCACTGGGGCCTTCGGTGGAGCTCCCTATGGGGCCACGAAACGTGTGAGGGGTGTGCCGAAATGGGTGTGGTTGACGCATGCGGGCGCGGGCACTGGGGCCTTCGGTGGAGCTCCCTATGGAGCCACGAAACGTGTGAGGGGTGTGCCGAAATGGGTGTGGGTGACGCATGCGGGCGCGGGCACTGGGGCCTTCGGTGGAGCTCCCTATGGAGCCACGAAACGTGTGAGGGGTGTGCCGAAATGGGTGTGGGTGACGCATGCGGGCGCGGGCACTGGGGCCTTCGGTGGAGCTCCCTATGGAGCCACGAAACGTGTGAGGGGTGTGCCGAAATGGACGCATGCGGGCGCGGGCACTGGGGCCTGGAGCCGAAACGTGTGAGGGGTGTGCCGAAATGGGTGTGGCTGACGCATGCGGGCGCGGGCACTGGGGCCTTCGGTGGAGCTCCCTATGGAGCCACGAAACGTGTGAGGGGTGTGCCGAAATGGGTGTGGCTGACGCATGCGGGCGCGGGCACTGGGGCCTTCGGTGGAGCTCCCTATGGAGCCACGAAACGTGTGAGGGGTGTGCCGAAATGGGTGTGGGTGACGCATGCGGGCGCGGGCACTGGGGCCTTCGGTGGAGCTCCCTATGGAGCCACGAAACGTGTGAGGGGTGTGCCGAAATGGGTGTGGGTGACGCATGCGGGCGCGGGCACTGGGGCCTTCGGTGGAGCTCCCTATGGAGCCACGAAACGTGTGAGGGGTGTGCCGAAATGGGTGTGGCTGACGCATGCGGGCGCGGGCACTGGGGCCTTCGGTGGAGCTCCCTATGGGCCACGAAACGTGTGAGGGGTGTGCCGAAATGGGTGTGGGTGACGCATGCGGCGCGGGCACTGGGGCCTTCGGTGGAGCTCCCTATGGAGCCACGAAGCGTGTGAGGGGTGTGCCGAAATGGGTGTGGCTGACGCATGCGGGCGCGGGCACTGGGGCCTTCGGTGGAGCTCCCTATGGAGCCACGAAACGTGTGAGGGGTGTGCCGAAATGGGTGTGGGTGACGCATGCGGGCGCGGGCACTGGGGCCTTCGGTGGAGCTCCCTATGGAGCCACGAAACGTGTGAGGGGTGTGCCGAAATGGGTGTGGGTGACGCATGCGGGCGCGGGCACTGGGGCCTTCGGTGGAGCTCCCTATGGAGCCACGAAACGTGTGAGGGGTGTGCCGAAATGGGTGTGGGTGACGCATGCGGGCGCGGGCACTGGGGCCTTCGGTGGAGCTCCCTATGGAGCCACGAAGCCGAAATGGTTGATGTGCCGATGGTGTGAGGGGTGTGCCGGGGTGCTGACGCATGCGGGCGCGGGCACTGGGGCCTTCGGTGGAGCTCCCTATGGAGCCACGAAACGTGTGAGGGGTGTGCCGAAATGGCGCATGCGGGCGCGGGCACTGGGGCCTTCGGTGGAGCTCCCTATGGAGCCACGAAACGTGTGAGGGGTGTGCCGAAATGGGTGTGGCTGACGCATGCGGGCGCGGGCACTGGGGCCTTCGGTGGAGCTCCCTATGGAGCCACGAAACGTGTGAGGGGTGTGCCGAAATGGGTGTGGGTGACGCATGCGGGCGCGGGCACTGGGGCCTTCGGTGGAGCTCCCTATGGAGCCACGAAACGTGTGAGGGGTGTGCCGAAATGGGTGTGGGTGACGCATGCGGGCGCGGGCACTGGGGCCTTCGGTGGAGCTCCCTATGGAGCCACGAAACGTGTGAGGGGTGTGCCGAAATGGGTGTGGGTGACGCATGCGGGCGCGGGCACTGGGGCCTTCGGTGGAGCTCCCTATGGAGCCACGAAGCGTGTGAGGGGTGTGCCGAAATGGGTGTGGCTGACGCATGCGGGCGCGGGCACGAGGGAGGAGGGGGAAGAGGAGGAGAGGAGAGGAACGCGGGGCACCGTCTCTTCAAAACGAGGACCCAACACCACAGGATGGTTGGGAACAACAAATCCTTGCTCGCGTACTGGTGACGCCCTTGTCTCGCTGTTGCTCCTGCAGAGCGTACGGACTGCAGCGACACGGGCGACACCTGCGCGCGGACGTCGAATTGGTCGGCACGCACGCGGAAACGAATTATTCCACATGGGCCCGATGAAGTGCGCAAGCTGCAAGGGCCGCGCGATCCAGATGGACCATGACACCAGCATGGGTCGCATGGGATGCGGGAGCCGCAGGGCCCTGCTGGAAACCAACCCCCGCTGCAACTCCGCCCCGCGCCGGCTGGCCGAGCAGCTCGGCCATTAAAGCGTGGGGCATTAAAGCGTGGGGCGCGTTCGACCGAACACGCGCGAACCCTACAGGGCGGGTCGGGTCGGGCGGGCGGACCCTGGCGGGCGGGGCGGGTCGGGTCGGGCGGGCGGGCCTTGACGGGCGGGTCGGGTCGGGTCGGACGGGCGAACCTTGACGGGTGTGTCGGGTCGGGCGGGCGGACCCTAGCGAAGGGTCGGGTCGGGTCGGGCGGGCGGGGCATTCAAGTGTGTGGCGCGCTCGACCGAGCACGCGCGAACCCTAACAGGCGGGTCGGGTCGGGCGGGCGGACCCAGGCGGGCGGGGCGGGTCAGGTCGGGCGGGCGGGGACCTTGGCGGGCGGGTCGGGTCGGGCGGGCGGGACGTTCAAGAATGGGGCACACTCGACCGAGCACGCGCGAGCCCTGGCCGACAGGTTGGGTCGTTCGGGCCCTAGCGGGCGGGGCGGGTCGAGTCGGGCGGGCGGGCACCGACGGGCGGTTCGGGTCGGGAGGGCGGGCCCTAGCGGGCGGGGCGGGTCGGATCGGGCGGGCGGACCCTGGCGGGCGGGTCGGGTCGGGCGGGCGGGACGTTAAAGAATGGGGCTCGCTCGACCGAGCACGCGCGAGCCTTAACGGACGGGTTGGGTCGTTCGGGCCCCAGCGGGCGGGGAGGGTCGGGTCGGGCGGGCGAACTTTGACGGTCGGGTCGGGTCGGGCGGGCGGGACATTAAAGTGTGGGGCGCGCTCAACCGACCACGCGCGAACCTTGACAGGCAGGTCGGGTCGGGCGGGCGGACCCCCGCGGGCGGGACGGGTCGGGTCGGACGGGCGGACCTTGACGGGCGGGTCGAGTCGGGCGGGCGGGACATTAAAGTGGGGCGCGCTCGACCGAGCACACGCGAGCCCAAACGGTCGGGTCGGGTCGGGCGGGCGATCTTTGACGGGCGTGTCGAGTCGGGCGGGCGGGACATTAAAATGTGGGGCACGTTCGACTGAACAAACGCGAACCCTAACAGGCGGGTCGGGTCGGGCGGGTGGACCTTAGCGGGTGGGTCGGGTCGGGTCGGGCAGTTTCGCCGACGGCAGTTGGCTTCGCCGACGGAGCTGGTTTCGCCGACGGGGCTGGTTTCGCCGGGCGGCGAAACCAGCCGGGCAGACACAGACGTCGGCGAAACCAACATTCGCCTCCCGTGGTACGCTTATAGGAATACGGGGACGACCGGTCCCTACTCAACGCCCGGCTGAGGCGTTTTCGGATGTCGCCCTCAGACAGTCATGATCACCACTCGCACAAGTCGGCCATCTGATGTCGTCGCATCGCCCTGCAGGCTCTGGGAGAGAGTGCGAGCTCCGTGGGACGGGGGAGGTGAGGGGGAGTGGGAGGGCCAAGGCGATGGCAACGCGCAGTGAGAAGGACAGCTTCGGCCCCATCGATGTCCCAGCGGACCGCCTGTGGGGCGCACAGACGCAGCGCAGCCTGCAGAACTTCCCGATCGGAGACGCGCCAGACAAGATGCCACTGCCTGTGATCCGGGCCTTCGGGAAGCTGAAAAAGTGTTGCGCCAAGTACAACATGGACGCTGGAAGGTTGTCCAAGGAAATGGGCGAGGCTATGATGAAGGCCGCGGACGAGGTGGCTACTGGCGTCCACGACTCCCACTTCCCGCTGGTCACTTTCCAGACTGGCTCTGGCACCCAGTCAAACATGAACGTCAACGAGGTGATCTCGAACCGCGCCAACCAGCTGCTCGGCGCCGAGCTGGGCACCATGAGCCCAGTGCATCCCAACGACCACGTCAACATGGGCCAGAGCAGTAACGACAGCTTCCCGACGGCCATGCACATGGCCGCCGTCGAGGAGATCCACCTGCGTCTGCTGCCTGGTCTGGAGCGCCTCGAGAAGGCGTTGCAGGCCAAGAGCGAGGAGTGGGCCGGCATCATCAAGATTGGCCGCACGCACTGCCAGGACGCCACGCCCTGCGTCGGTGGTGGGGGTTGGAGGGACGGGTCCAGCCGGGGACGGCGCCAGTTGTGCACCGACATTTGGCCAGGCCAGTCTTGGACCCAGGCTCGGTGTGTACGCCGCCTTGGCTCGGCCAGGAAGGCGTGCACACCTATCCTGGGCCCAGGACTGGCACGGCCGAAGTCGGTGTATACAGCTGTTTCCGTCCTGGTGGAGGTGTGGTGGAGGGAGGGGAGGTGGGAGAGTCGGGTCGGACGAAGGGGGAAGGATCAGGAAAGTGGGCAGTACGAAACTTGCTGTTGCACCCAGCTGGTCTGGGCCCCGCCGCCAGGGCGCTTCATCGACGCATTAGCGCCACCCGCGCAGGAGAAACCAGCTACGTGAGCTGAGTCGCTGACCCTCTTGCTATGCCTGCCCATCTTTGTCCGCCCCGACAGAGGAGGAGTCCAGGCAGGCCCAGGATGAACTATACATCGCTCTAGGGCGTCCTGGGGCGCTCTGCGAGCGTTTCAGGGCGCTCTGAAGCGGCCGCGGCGCCTGATACATCCTCCAGGACCGCCAGATCTCGGAGATTCCCCATTTGTCTGCATCATATAGTGCGGATACTCCGCTGCTGAGCTTTGAGCTCCACGAATTGCTGAAAACGCTGAAATTCCGTAGTTGTGGAGGGGATTCCCGTGCGCGCCCGTTATTGGAAATTCTGCTTACCCGTAAGATCCATTTCAGAAGAGCTCAGTCTGGGCCCGGGCGGAGGCCCCAGTCTGGGCTCTGGTCGGGCCTCTGTCCAAATTTGTCGCTCGTGTCGCGTGACGGTGACGTCTGTGGCGTATCACTCCAGGCTGTGCATCGCGTCCTGGAGTATCCGTCCCGTACGATTCTTCCACCCCTCAATCGGCGGCTCGCCCAGGGGGGAAGTCAGAGGGATCAGGGCGGGCCTTCTCAGACGGCGGCGGGGCTTCTCAGAAACCCTCGCGCTTTTTGAGAAGTTTTCCTGTGTCTTCGGGGAAGGCTTGGAGAACTTCTCAGAAGGCCGGGGGGCTCCCGAGCCTTCTGAGAAAGCCCGTCCCCTCACCTCGGGAAGGTGGGCCGCGCGCGCGCGCCACCAGGACGCCACGCCCCTCACGCTCGGCCAGGAGTGGGCGGCGGCCTGAGCGGCTCGTGGCAAGCCGCCCCCTTCCAGGGTACCTTTCCCCCCCTCCGATTCGATTCGGTTCGAGTTCGATGGATTCGATCCCGATTCGACTCCGGATTCCGATCTGGATTCCGACTCTTGGAGGCTTTATTAGCCTGCCGGCTTCCACCGATCCGATTCACTCCGATCGCCGATCCGACGTATCGATCCGATTCTGGGCTTTCTTGCTTCCGTGACGACCGCCTCGCTTCCCAGGGCGTCTGCGGGGGTCCAGAGGGGACCCTCGATCGACGAAGAGCAAGGTAGCGCAGGCACATATTTTCGGTGCTCCGCGCGGATCTCTTGTTGGCACTGGACCGCACTCCCTGGAGCGCGGAGCGCGACAGGGGGGGGAGGGCAGCGCCGATCTGAGAGACAGGCGCCGATGTCCGAAAGTGTATTCCCCACAGTGGGGCTCTTTTTTTCTCTGGACACCCCGCGCAGGAACACCCACGCACATCCCATCATTATTCACCATCACCAGCATCAGTGTTCACATCATCCGCATCATCATCATTGTCGTGATCTCACGGGTTTCCGATGTATCTTGTGGGCCGCCGCCGTTCTGGTTGCTCAAGTCTTGAGGGATGTGGGAGAGGCTCACAAACCACGCCGTCACAGGGGTGGTCTCCTATCTCACGCGGTGCCCGCAGGTGCCATCTTGTCCCGCCTGTCCCGTGTGCTCGTTGGCGTGCGGGTCGCCAGCTCCTTGCCCAGGGTGCTCGCTGCAGTGCCCAGCGATCCCGCCGTGCGCGGAGGTCGCCCCGGCGGTGTGCCCCTCGCCGCCGCCCTGCCCAACGCCGGCGTGCCCGGCGTGTGGGGCCTGCCCCGCGCCAGAGGCCGCGCCCGCGCCCTCGGGGCCGGAGGCGGCGGCGCCTTCGGCGGCGGCCGTGCTGGCGAGCGACGTGGGCGGGGCGCTGGGCTTCCTGCTCGCCGCCGCGTGCGTCGGCTGCTGCTGTGTCGTGGTGCGGAGGGACGCTCGTCCGCGTGTTCGGCAGCCTGCTGGCTGCATCAGTGATGGCGGCGGTGGCGACGAGTCGCTGGGTGTACGTCTTCTACGCAGGCGAGGTGGTGTGGCACCAGCACTTGAATCTGGGGCGGGTGGCATTGTCCGAGGCCGACCACGTCATCTACACGGCGGACGGCGATCTCTACATCGTCGCGTTGTCCAACAATGCGGATGTGCAGGCGGCGCGGTTCGGTGCCTTCAACCCGCCGCCTCCAGGGATCGCGGGCAACCAGGTGCTTTTTTGGTTCAGAGCCGAGCCGACGGATGCGGAGCTGGCCCAGCTCACCCTGGAGGCGGAGCAGATCGCCACCGCGGAGTGCCGTGCCAGAGCTGCCGCCATCGGCAACCTCGGCCTGCTCACCAACCTGCGGCCGCTGGTCGCGCCTGGAGGAGGAGGAGTGGTGGCCCCCATCGCGCCCGCGGGCCCTGCGCTGGGCCTGCTGCGCGGCGCTGCCGCGCTCCCCGCTGGTGCGCCTGGAGGTGACCCCGCTGGGGTGTGGAGGGCGGCCGCCTGCGAGGGCGGATATCGGATTGGCGATGAGGTGCCCGGGCACGTGCCCACTGCAGCTCGAGTCCAGGATCGGGACATTCATGTGCTGCCAGACGGCCAGGGCCTGTTCGTGGAGTTGGTGCCGCCAGCCGCCCTCGAGACCTTCCTGCGTAAGGCTGTAGATGCGGACGCCAGGATCTTGCCCATTGTTCGAGATGGGCAGGGTCGCCGCGACGCCCCGTGGCACAAGATGGTGGAGATGACCCGCCGGGAGGACTTCGGCTCGGACTGGACGCTGCCGGGCCCGAGGACGGCCGCGTGGTGCATGAGCTACCTGCAGCGGGAGGGCCTCGGTATAGAGGGCCATCACGAGCACTGCAGGCAGATCAGCAGGCTCGCCGCCACGGATTGGGGAGTTCAAGAACACTACCAGCTGTGCCAGCAGATCAAGGCGGCAACCTGCCAGGACCTCCTAGACGGGACGAACTCGATCAGCATCGAGATGAAGTTTAGGAGGCCCCAGACCATCGAGTCCGCCCACTGGGGCAAGGCCAAAGACGCCGAGAGCAAGGGCGTTGGTGGCAAGATGAGTCTGGAGGAGCAGGCCGCTTTCTCTGGTGTCACACGCTCGACTTCGTCGGTGATGGTATCTCCAGAGTTGATCGAGCATGTCCGCGGTGACGTTGAGAAGGAAGCGAAGCTACACAAGAGTTTGCGCCTGGCCCGCGAGGAGCGGGAGTCCAGGCGCAAAAATGGCTGAGCATCAGAGCCGTGCTGGCTTCGGAGGGGGGGCCAGCATGAGTACTACACCCCTCCACATGGGCGACCCGAGTGGGCCCTTCTCCCCTCAGGACGTCCACGGCATTGGCAGGCGTCGGCCCCGGGACATCTTGCCACTGCCCTACCCCCCGTTCAAAGAGCCGCTGGATAAGGCGTCGGTCAAGGAGCTCGCCAGAGGTACGAGGCAAAGGATTGGGCGAAGGCTTGGTGTCTGCAGCGATGTTTATGGATGCGTGGACGCTCTTAATTGGCTTCATGACCCGTCCCTCCGTTGTGGTCGTGACCGTTCTGCACGATACGTTGGCCCGTCACTCGCCCAGAGCCAGTGCTTGGCCCGCATCTCCGAGTCGGTGCGCAACCTTGGTCCGCCGCCGTCGACTCTTTCTCCCGCAGAAGCGCTGGTGCAGCTTCGCGTGGCCGGGGGTGCCTGCAATGTCGAGCAGTCGCCCCTCGGGAGCTACGACCCCGCGCTCCTCTCCTTGCCTGACGTCAGTGCCGCCCCTGTGCCGCTGGCCGACGTGCGGGGGGAGGGCGGGCAAGCCAAGGTCGAACAGTTCGTTCTGCAGAGCTTGATGGATCCGAGCGAGGCCGAAGCCAGGCTGAGGCAGAGCTCTATACCTGTTCCCTACTCTGACCCTCTTCTACGTGATCAGCGGCGCTGGTCCAGTTTTGTTCAGTTGCTGCATGAGCGGCACCTTGTCGACTTCAGTTTGGAGGGCGGCGTTCGAGCCGAGATTTTCTTTGTGAAAACAAGGGAGGCCGCCTTCGCATGGTGGCGGACTGCCGCCGCTCCAACGAGGTGTTCACCGAGCCCCTGGGCGCGCGGCTCGCGACGGGCGACGCCTTCGGCATGCTGGAGGTGGCGGCGGACGACTCTCTCCTGACAGTGGAGGGTGCCGACCTGGAGGACGCCTTCTACCACCTTGAGCTCCCCGAGCAGCTCCGTCCGTGTTTCAGCCTGCGACCTGTGCGCGCTGGCGTCCCGGGCATCAAGGAGGTCGGCGGGGTCGCTGTCGGGGCCTCCACCAAGCTCTACCCGCGCCTCAGGGTCGTGCCCATGGGTTGGTCCTGGGCCACGTGGTGGCGTCAGTCGGTGATGGAGCGAGTGGCAGAAGCAGCAGGCTGCGGTGATGACTCACGACTTCGAGATGGCAGGCCTGCGCCCTCTTTGGACCCATCGTGTCACCTTGAGTACGTCGACAACTTCGTGAGCATCGGCTACGACGCGGAGGCGGTTCGGTCCGCTGTGACTCGTGTCATGACGGAGCTCAAGCGCCGAGGTTTGGTGGTGACCAGGGAGGAGCACCTCGGTGACAGCGAGGGCGAGTCTGCGGTGCTGGATTGGTCCATCACTGCGGCTGGGCGTCTCTCGGCGTCTGCTTCGAGATTGTGGAGGGCGCGGTTAGCGGTGCGTGGTCTTCTGCGGCGCGGCCGGGCCAGTGGTCGTGATCTCGAGCGCGTGCTGGGCCACATCATCTTCGTCATTCTCGCTCGGCGTGAGGGCTTGAGCATCCTCGAGGCGAGTTTCCGCTTTGTCCAGAAGTACTACCACCAGCAGGTGCCGCTCTGGTCTCAGGTCAGGCAGGAGATCATGGCCAGGGATGGCGTCGCTCCTTTGCTATGGCGTGATCTCCGTGCTCAGTGGTCGTGTTCCGTCGGCTGCGTTGACGCCTCCCCTTGGGGGTTGGGCGCCTGCGAGGCCGATTGGGATGTCGGCGCTGTTCGGGAGGTTGGTCGTCATGGCGAGCGGTGGCGCTATGGCAGGGCTGAGCGCTTGCCTCCTCGTCGCCGCGCCCATGCCGCTGAATGTGCCGCCGACGGGGTCGCAGCCTGTGACCTAGGGATCGTAGCGGCCCAGCTCGATCCTGGCTGTCCGGCGGAGGACAGCCAGCCCGTCGGCCCGCCGCTGGAGCGCGACCTGCTCGCTTTCCCCGAGGTCTCGAAGAAATGCCTGGACAAGTCGTTGTGGCGTGTCACGGGACGTCGTAAGTGGGATCGCCTTGAGGGGATGCCTGTTCTCGAAGCTCGGGAGGTCCTGTACCATGTTCGGCATGCTTTGCGGGCCGTTCGGAACCATGGGAAGAGGATGCTTGTCCTGGGAGATTCTCTTGCGTCTGTCTCGGCGGCCTCTCGGGCGCGGGCCCGCAGCCGCGCCATGTTGGGGATCATGCGCCGTATTGGGGCTCTGTCTCTTGCGTCTGGGAGCTCCTTTTGTATTCGGTGGATACCGTCCGAGTATAACGTCGCGGATGGCCCCTCTAGGGGCCGAGGAGAACCTAGTCTCCCTTCTGCTGTCATTCTAAAGGAGGGCCTCGGCAAGACCCCGAAGTACAAGGTGGGCCTGGACCCCAAAGAGCAAGACCCTCCTCAGGGCCCCCATCAAGGCAGGCTACTTCGTGACCTAGGTGAGGAAGAAGGAGAGCCCCATAGGGAGCCCGATCAAGGACAGCACGGACCAGCACTACACGCTTCTCAAGGGCGGGGTCAGCACCAGCACATGCACGAGGAGGTGGGCGAGAAGGTGGTAGAGGAGGAGGAGCGCGGGCACGATGAGGGCCTCGGAGTGGCTTCGCTGGAGGACGTCTTGGGTGCTCATGGTCCGCTTCGCTCTGAGCCGCTGACTGGCCCAAGACCTCTACGTATTTTTCCATATGTTGTCGGCTCTCTGCCTCGTCGCCCTCGTCAGCACTCTTCCTGCCATGTCCGCGGGGCCGTTGCAGGGGGGCGCTCGCAAGCGACCAGCCGCGGCCGCGAGCTCGCCGCCGGCGGGGGCTTCCCTGGCCCGTGGGGCGCGCAAGGCTGGCTTGCAGTCGCCGACGCTGCCAGTGCTCCAGGCATCGCCCGCGAGCCGCCAGGGCTCGAGCGGTGGCCCCACGCCGCGGCAGCGGGCCCGGCTGATCCAGCCGCCAGCGGGCATGCCAGTGCTCAACGCGGCATCTGTGCGCACGGTGTCGGGGCGTCAGGCCTACCTTTCGACGCTGGTGGGTTTCGACAACTGGACGAGACAGCATCGACGGGCTACACAGGAGCCTGCCCAGATGGACCGAGCGGTCCGCGACTACATCAGCCATCTCTTCGAGCGGGGGTATCACCAGACCTACGCCAACCGTATGATAGCGGCGGTGGCGCGGCGCGATCCGCGCTATGCCAGAACGGGCCCGTTCGAGCTACCGCTGTCCAAGCAAGCCGCCAAGGGGTGGCGCAACCTGGCCCCAGCTCGCAGCCGAATGGCCCTTCCGTACGAGGTCGTCGCCATGGTGGTCAACTACGTACTCCATCAGCGCGGCGCCCCGGAGGCGCTCGCGATCTGGCTCCTCTTCGAGATCTACGGCCGCCCAGGCGAGATCCACGGGCTTCGCCTGCAGGACGCGGTGCCGCCGGCGCCGTCCGCGTCAGGGGCTCACCGCTACACCTCGGTGACGCTCCACGCGCAGGAGGTCGGCGACGTCTCGAAGACGGGGGGGCTCGACGCAGCGATCCGTCTCGACCTCGAGCGCCAGGCAGGCCTGGCTGCGGCCCTGCTGGCGATGGCCGCCGCGCGGCGCCGCGCGGGAGCGCCGCCCTGGGCGCCGCTGTTTGCAGTCGACCAGCGCAGTGTGGCCAACGCATGGCGCGGGGCTGTCACCGCCCTCGGCCTCCGGAAGCTGGGCGCCTGCCACGTCTACCAGCTCCGCCACTCAGGCCCAAGCCACGACTACGCAGCAGGGCTGCGCGACCTGGAGCAGATCAGGCGGCGTGGGCGCTGGAAGAGCTGGAGCTCAGTCCGCAGGTACGAAAAAAGGAGGCCGCCTGACCGAGCAGCTGCACAAATTAGGAGGGCCGCAGCGAGAGCACGCGGAGGCCTGCGCGCGCTTGCTGAGCCGCTCGTCGCACGGCCTGCCCTCAGCGTTGGTGCCAGTTTGCCCGACCCGCCAGTGATCTTAGAGTTGTTCTCTGGCTCAGCAGGTTTCTCGAAGGCGGTCGCTCAGCTGGGCATGCCAGTTTTGATGTGGGACACTACTTTAGGCGAGGGATACGATCTCGCCCGACCGTGTAATCGCTCGCTGCTTTTGTCATGGATCCGTGCTGGTCGAATCAGGGGTTGGCATGCGGGTGTACCTTGCAACGCGCTGACCAGGTGCCGCGATCATGGGGTCGGGGCGCCGCCTGTACGATCCGATATCCACCTCTTTGGCCTCCCGAGCCTCCCTCCTCATTTGCAAGCGATTGTCGATGTATCCAACATCCTCAACAGATTTGTGGCCAATCTCGCTGGTGTTTCACTTTCGTTACGTGTGCCCTGGAGTATCGAGAACCCTAAGACTTCTCGGCTGTGGCTCTTTCCACGCTACAAAGCCCTAGTGCGGCGCCGCGCTGTCTCTTTCCACGTCACCTCTATGTGCCAGTGGGGTGCGGCTTGGAAAAAGGATACTGGCCTTCTCCTCGGGGACCTTGACCCGGGGCCGTTCCGTGAGTCGCGGTGCGTTGGGTCCAGGCGCGGCATTTGCTCTCGTACGGGTCGTGCTCACGAACGGCTGCACGGTTTTTTGCCCTCAGGAGGTTTCAATACCAAGAGAGGGGCAGAGTGCCCTCGAAAATTTTGCGTCGCCCTCGCTCGTCTCTTTCACAATGCCGAAGTCAGAGCTTCCGCAGAGGTCATACAGCGATCGTGTGGTTTTTGAGTCTCTTTTCTTCGGCGATGCCAGCTTGCTCTGCAAACTCGGGAGCATGTTTGGCGTTATGTTCTGGGGTTGAGCTCTCACCCCAGGACTTGAGCTTGCCTGTGCCTCGCTCGGCGGTCTCGACGGCTGGATTCCGCCCGTGCTGAGTCTCTTGCAGTTGCTGGCAGAAACAAGAGCCCAAAGGATTGTCGTGATCTCACGGGTTTCCGATGTATCTTGTGGGCCGCCGCCGTTCTGGTTGCTCAAGTCTTCCGCCTCCTCCTCTCCTCCACCGCTTTCTGTTCACTCAGGTGTTATGTTCTGGGGTTGAGCTCTCGCCCCAGGACTTGAGCTTGCCTGTGCCTCGCTCGGCGGTCTCGACGGCTGGATTCCGCCCGTGCTCAGTCTCTTGCAGTTGCTGGCAGAAACAAGAGCCCAAATTATCATCATCAGCATCATCAGCATCATCATCATCATCAGCATCATCAGCTGCAACACCATAATCCTTATCATCATCATCATCAGCAGCAGCATCATCATCACCATCATCACTATCATCAACATCGCTATCACCATCATCATCAGCAGCATCATCATCATCATTATCATGATCAGCATCGTCAGCACCATCATCATCATCAGCATCATCATTATTATTACCATCATCATCAGCATCATCATCAGCATTACCATCGTCACCATCACCATAATGTGGCTTGAGCGTGGTAAGCTGATCCAGTATGCTCTGAAGGCCCGCCCACCCGCCCAAGACTGGGACATGTTAAGGGCGAAGCTCAGTCGATATATGGCAGACGCGGATGGACAGGAGGATGGCGTGGCACGAGGTTTGCAGCAGGATGAGTGCACAACCACTTCGAGAAAAACTGAACTGATGCGTGCTGGACTCGCGAGCAACAGGCCAGCACCACACACGACGTCTGCCCTGTCTTCGCAGAGCACTGAATAGATTCACGATCGCTCTCGCAGAGCTCCCCAAAAAGGCTGCGATGGATGACGCTCCACTGAAATGCCGAACCACACTTGTGATCTGATGTAACTGGCAAATTGGAACCATTGATACTTTAGTCGCAATCACAGCCCACTCCCGCCAGCCGAGCGCGCGAACGAACTCGAGTGAAGAATTCTCGTGCGTCCAGAGGCGGAACCACAAGGGCGGGGAGACGCCGACAGGAATGTCGGCCGTGTGGAGGGGTTCGCGCAGCCAGCTGAGGTCTGTAGTCGCCTCCGTGGTAGTCCTCGCTCGATCTGAAATACGTTCAAGCTGCGCGCTCACATCAGACCCAATCCACTCCCACAACGGATTGGCCCAAACTGGTGTGTACAGGAGAGCCGACCACGTGAATGAAAGCCCCACGTAGTCTGTAGAAAGAAGCGTCACCTCGAATTCAAATATTTCAAAACGGTTCAACGCGACAAACTCCTGGTCTGACTTGGAGATGGTCGGAAGTGCTGGGCCCGCCTGATCAAGCGCCTTCCATATCTCCGCGGCCCGTGCCTCGGGCAACTGGCCCAGTGCGCCCACCATCGACGAATCACGACCCGATATTTGGTAGCCAGGGAGCACGATGTAGCGCCCGCCCGCCGCGTTGGCCATGGCATTGAGGAGGTCGACGCCTTCCCGGGACTCCTCCAAAGCCGACGGCGAGCCGCGGCCCACAGCAACGGCAACGTCCGTCACCAGCACCGTGACGTTGGAGGCCGCCCGCGTCAGCACCCCCCCGGCGTCGGCGAGGTCCTCGGACAGGCTGGTCACCGCGCCGACGCCTTGCGCCAGCGTGGGCGAGAAGCCGGGGGGGTTGACCCACGGCGCCAGTCGCAGCACAGCGCCTGGCGAGAGCCACCAAGCGCGGCCCACGCGGCCCAGGCTGGCCAGCCCCTGTCGCCACGGCGCGGGGCGCGGCCGCCGCGGCCCAGCGGGCGGCTGAGGCGCGAGCGACGGCGGCGCCCCGAGCTCCGCGGTCGGGGCGAATAGGTTCACCCCACTCGGCGGCGCGCTCCACGGCGACGGCGCCGCCAGGTTGGCGAAGGGCGTGTCGACCAGCGCCCGGGGCGACGGCGGCGTGATGCCTGCTGGCAGCGTCGAGGCTGGCGAAGCAGACTTGGCTCCTGGCGACCTCGGCGGGGCTGGGGCAGGCGATGCCGTCCTCGCACTCTTCGCAGGGGCCGGCGATAGGCTCTTCGTGGATGCAGGCGGCGTGTAGATTAGGCACCGTCAACGAGCGTGCTTCCCACTCTCGGCGCCATGCCAGCGATGCGGGGGCCCCGGCAGCTCCTGGCGCACGTGCTGCCTCTAGCCGTCTGCCGCCCAGCGCAGCTGCTTCTCGTGGCCCGCGGCGAGCAGTTCGGCGAGCGCTGCGTTGGCCGACTGCGCGCCCAGGCCTGAGGTTGGAGTCGCTCACCCAGCGGCCGTTTTCACGGATCTCGGCGAACGGGGCGCCCTCGGCGCGGGAGTCGGTTGCCCAGCTGGCGCGCGGACTACGCGGGCCCCAGCCCTTTGAAGCCCTGGCGCCGCTTCGGCTGATTTGAGCAACGTACGACATTGAGAGATACTGTAAGGAAATAGAGATTGGTCTGGCGGGGCTAGCTGTGCACAGTTCCAGGGGGCTGCAGCGATATCAGCATGGCGGCCTGGAAGCGCGGCCGCCTGAGGCCGTTGCGCTGTCGCACCGAAGCGCACTCGCAAGGCCAGGACCACGGGATCTGTTTTGCGATCGATAGCCCGATGATGGGGAAAGGAAATGCGTTCAGGGCGCAGGCCAAGCATCTCTGACGGCCTAAGTCCCGCACGGCACTGCAGCGCCGAGCCGAGGCCCAGCCTCGCGCGCCCCGCGGGCGCTAGGCAAATGCTCATTAGCTTGACAGGGGCCTCCCCGAGTGGGACGGCGTGCTCGATCACTCGCGACCTCCCCCAGCCACGAAGCACAGCGCAGGCCCGCGTCAGCTCGCCCTTCATGCGAGGGAAAACAGTTCCACTGACGCCACGAGGTTACAAAAGTACGACGGCGTGAGCAGGGACTCGCATGCATTCTCGCGCCCCACCAGCGCGTCGCCCCACTGGTCCGGGCCGACGGGGTCAAGGTGGTCGGCGATCGCCCAAGAAGTGACGCCCCAAGCCTCTCGCTTGTACGTCTCGATGGTCAGCGGTTTAACTCGCGCTGCTTGGTGGTGATCCAGGCGCCTGGGCCCGCGCCGCCCCATTTACGACGCAACAGCCAATCTGCTGCCTGGCGCTTGGTGTCCACCCAGGGCAGCGCGAACGCGATGCAGGTAGCTATGCTGAGGGCCGCTCGCCATTGAAGAAGTAACTGAGGCAGCGGGGAGTCCAGCGCGCGCTGCACCACGGGGGCCAAGAAGGCCATGGCTCGCAGCTCGCGCCTCGCGGAGGGCCACCGCGCGATGACCTGGTGGGCCTGCTTCCCGATCATGCCGGACACCGCGCGGGGGACCGACGTCAGCTCGCGACGCAGGAGGGCTCCCCACAGCACGGCGCCGACCACGGCTCGCAGCAGCTTCACGTCGACCCAGTCCACCTGCAGCAGCCACAGGCAGCTCTCGCGCAGCAGCCAGCCCATGTGCGGGTCGAAACGCAGCGCTGGCGGCGACCTTTGGATGCGGTTGCCCACCGCCTTGAAGTCGTCCTCGGCCCCGACCCGTTCGGTGACCAGGAAGACCTCTGCCGCCCAGCCGTCGGCGACCTGCTGCATCAGCGCGTCGCACTTGGGTCGATCCCCGGCCCCGACCGCCATCGCGGTGCCGTCGTCGACGTGCACGTGTCGGGCCCAAGGGAGTACTTCGTGCGTTGACCGTCCTTCTCGTTGGGCATCGCGAACTTTCCTCCTAGTGGGCCGTTTGCTTCCCTACTCCACTGGCTTGTGCGAGGCCGACCCCATATGGCGTACCCCTAGGCCTACACGTAGGCCTACCCTAGGCCGGGCCCACCCCTAGATACCCCGGGCCTGCGCCTAGTGCCTACCTTAGGCCTACGCCTAGGTTTACCAAGGCCGACCCCTAGGACCTGCCTCTGGGGCAACCGTAGGCGTAACCCTTGGTTGATTTTGAGGCCTACCGTGGGGCTGGCCCCGCGCATTGGGGGCAGGTTCGGCTCCTAACAACTAAGGCCTACCCCTAGGGGGTGCCCCAACAACCCCTTTTTGCTTGCGCCCAGTCAAACCCTGTGTGTGCGAGGGGGGGTCGCCGAGGAGGGTGGTGCCGGAGAGGGGGTCCCTGAGGAGCGGTGTCAGGAGGGGGGTCTCCGACAGGGGGGTCGCCGAGGGGGGGTCCTCGATCGGGGGGTTCTCGAAGGGAAGTCCCCAAGGGGAGGAGGAGGAGGAGGAGGAGGAGGAGGAGGAGGAGGAGGAGGAGGAGGAGGAGGAGGAGGAGGGAGGAGGAGGAGGAGGAGGAGGAACAGGTGGAAAGGAACAACGGAGGAGGGAGGAGGGGAGAGGGGGGGTCACCGAGGAGGGGGGGCCCTCGAGGGGGGGTCCCCGAGGGGGGGTCGCCGAGGGGGGTCCCCGAGGGGGGTCGACGAGGGGGCGTCGCCGAGAAAGGGGGGTCCCCGAAGGGGTGTTCTCGAAGGAGAGTCCCTGAGGAGGAGGAAGAGGTGGAGGAGGAGGAGGAGGAGGAGGGGGAGGAAGACGAGGAAAGGGAAGACGGAGGTGTGAGGAGAGGGGGGTCAGTGTAAACTTAAGAGTCATCAGCGATGTTGGAGTTAACCCTCCCTCCAAGCTCCCTCTTCACAGGCCCCTAGGTCAGTTCGCTTTCATTAAGGGAACTGCCTCATTGGAAAACAACCACTTGAAGATCTTGAATCATGCCGAAACATGGTTCTCGGGATTTCAACGCCACGGATCAACCTTACTGCTACGTCTTGACGATCCAGAATCATGCCAGAACGCCGCTTCTGGCAGATCCACACCGCGAATCAACATAACTGATGCACCCGCATAGTCGGGAATGCTTCCAAAACGCCATTTCAGGTGCGTTGATCATGGGAATCCGTGAAGCCCTTCCACATTGTATGAACGAGTGTGCGCAGCGCTAATGCGAGAGCCACATGTTGAAAAGGAGCCACCCTCAATATGTGACGCCCTTGCAGTTTTTGTAAACGAATGTGTGCGGCGCTAAGGCGAGAGCCACATTCTAAAAACGGCCCGCCCTCAGTTCGTGAAGCGCTTGCAATCTTTTAAAATGAATGTGCGCGGCGCTAAGTTTAAGGCGAGAGCCACATTTTGAAAACCACCCGCCCTCAATCCTTGAAGCTCTTGCAAATTGTATGGACGAGTGCGCGCGGCGCTAAGTTTAAGGCGAGAGCCACATTTGAAAACCACCCGCCCTCAATCCGTGAAGCTCTTGCAAACTGTATAAATGATACCGGAGAATAACCCAATCATATTTGTTTTAGGGCTGTAGGGTTATTGGGCTATAAGGCTAGAAGGCTATAGGGCTATAGGGCTGTAAGGCGATAGGGCCGTAGGGCTGTAGGGCTATAGGGATATATAGGTTATACGGCTATTGAACTATGGGGCTATGGGGCTATAGGGCTACAGGGCTATAGGGCTATAGGGCTATTGGGCTATTGGGCTATTGGGCTATTGGGCTATTGGGCTATTGGGCTATAGGGCTATTGGGCTATTGGGCTATTGGGCTATTAGGCTATAGGGCTATAGGACTGTAGTGCTGTAGGGCTATAGGGCGATAGAGCACCCGGGCACCTGGGCACCTCCGGGCACCCCGTGGCACCTCCGGGCACCCCCTGGCACCTCCGGGCACCCCCTGGCATTTCTGCGCACCTCTTGGCACCCAGGCACCCCCGGGCACCGGGGCCGGCCACCGAAATCGGCGACCCTCTTCACCCAACGTACCACATGAATCCGCTAAGACCCCTGCAGAGGCAAGCTCTGATTGGGGAACGAATGTGCGCGGCGCTAAGGCGAGAGCCACATTTTGAAAACCACCCGCCCTCGATCCTTGAAACTCATGTTGCAAATTGTATAAACGAATGCGCGCGGCGCTAAGGCGAGAGCCACATTTTGAAAACCACCCGCCCTCCATCTGTGAAATTGTTGCCATTGTTTAAGTTTCAGAGTCATAAGTGGTGAGAAAGTCTCAGGCGAAACGCCTGGCCCGCCCTAAAAAATTGCTAAAAACAGGGACAAGTTATTTATAAGGATAAGGAATGGAGGAGGAGGAGGAGGAGGAGGAGGAGGAGGAGGAGAAGGAAAAGGAGGAGTAGGAGGAGGACGGAGGACGGGGGAGGCGGGAGGCGGAGCTGGGAGGGGCCGGAGGAGGAGCGACCTCTCAAACCAGACCGACCTGCGGGTCGTGGCTGGCGGGGTCCTGCCCGGGCGCGCCGCGGCGCCCCCGAGGAGTTCTCTGGCTACGCCGCGCAGGTGCGGGCCGGCATCCGGCGGGTGCAGGGTTCGCTGCCCGCGCTGTACGCCCTCGCCCTCGGCGGCACCGCAGTCGGCACTGGGCTGAACACCAAGAAGGGTTACGCGGAGGCCATTGCGGCGACGATCGCGGAGGAGACCGGCGCCTTCGGGGCGGTTCGGGTGGGGAGTCGGCGGCAGAGGACGAGAAGGAATAGCGGGAGGAGGAGGGGGACGAAGAGGAAGAGGATGAAAAGGAAGAAGAGAAGGAGGAGGAGGGGTATGGGGTAGGGGTCAAGTTAGGCAGGTCGAGCGAGTCAGAGGGCCCCACCTATTCCTACCCTCCATCTTGCAACATACGAATGAATTGTGGCACATTTGGATCTTGGGATTGGAACTCGCTCCCACCTCGCAATCTGAGAGCGCTCGCGCGCGGCTCCGCTTCCGACGACTTGGCGAGGGGAAAACTATGCGGACGGCGCAGGGGCGGGACCGGCAAAACTTCCGATGGTCGTGGCACAGACGAAGCATGCGACGCGTTGACACAGCGCTGCCGTTTTCACTGACAATTGGCGCGGCGCTTGTGCGAGTACGGCATGTCGCACGCTTTCGAGCGGCCCCGTTGCCGCGATCGCTTGCGCGCAACTCGGCGAACGAACCATGCGCCGCGCCCGCGCGACCCAACTGCGCTCGGAATTCTGGCGAGGGCACCTTGTCGCTCATTCGCGCGGGGCCCTCAGATTTTGTGCGTGACAAATCTGCGCCGCGTCGACGTGGGAACGCCATTTTCAAGCGACATTTGCGCGGCGCCGAGGCGAGGATTTGCATTTTCGCCTGCTCGCGCGTCCATGCAAACTCGTACGGAAAATGCGCGCCGCGCCTCAATGAGCGTGGCGCCCAAACCAAAGAGACAGTTTGGCTTTTCGCACGGGATGTGCGCCTCGTTCCATTCCCGCCACGCAATTTGCAGCATGGACGACGTAATGTCCATTTTAGAATAGTATGGATGACGCAAAATGTTTGTTATGCAGGCTGGGACCACCCAGATTGGGCGGCTGTTGGCAGCTAGGTGGCAAAGTGGGGGCATGTTTTGATAGGGAACAGGAGTAGGAAAAGGGGGGGGGAGGAGCTGGAGGGGAAGGAGGGTGACGGGGAATAGGTCGATGGCGGAGTAGGAGGAGGAAGGGGACGAGGAGGAGGAGGAGGAGGAGGAGGAGAAGCAGGAGGAGGAGAAGGAGCAGGAGGAGGAGCAGGAGGAATAGCAGGATAAGGAGGAAGCGGAGGCGGAGGAGGAGGTGGGGGAGGAGAGGAGGAGGAGGAGGAGGAGGGGAGGAGGAGGAGGAAGAGGAGGAGGAGGAAGAGGAGTCGGAGGTGGAGGCGGAGGCGGAGGCGCAGGTGGAGGAGGAGGCGGAGCGTAGGCAGAGGCGGAGGAGGAGGAGGCGGAGGGGGAGGATGAGGAGGAAGAGGAAGAGGAAGAGCAAGAGGAATAAGCATAGTAACGATATACTTCATTAATTAAGTAGTAGAATACTACTAAGACGAAGACGAATACGAATCATACTAAAACTATTGATGGCACTCATATAATACAAATAATTCTAAGCATACGTATAATAAGAAAAATAAGTGTAATACTAGTAATACTACTACGAACGGGAATACTACTAATAACATGACTAATGCGATTACTACTAACACGAACCAGACTAATACGAATCACCTTAATCATAAGAGTACGAACAATCATGCTAATCATCAGACGAATAAGACTACTAGTAATACTAATCAGAAGAGGAGGAGGAGGAGGAGGAGGAGGAGGAGGAGGAGGAGGAGGAGGAGGAGGAGGAGGAGGAGGAGGGGGAGGGGGGGGGGAGGAGGAGGAGGAGGAGGAGGAGGAGGAGGAGGAGGAGGAGGAGGAGGAGGAGGAGGAGGAGGAGGAGGAGGAGGGAGGAAGGAGGAGTTGAGCAGGAGGAGGTGAGTAGGATTTGCAGTAGAGGGAGAGACGGAGGATGGGCGGCAGCAGCAGCAGGAGCAGCAGTGCGCGAGGCAGGAGCTGCCGCGGTCCGCGGGTGCTCGGAGTGGGAGCCCGGCGGACCCCCCCAGCCAGCCAAGGCTGAAGAGAAACATTATTAAGAGGATGGCCAGTTGAGACGACGGTAGTTGCCACTCGGGGGGGCCAGAAGATATGTATTCTCCCTCCTGGTTCGGCCAGGGAGGCATGTACACCGCTCCTGGGTCCAGGATGGGCCTGGCCAGCGGCGGTGGTTATGCATACACCTTGTCGCCCTAAGATCGGGTCCACCGCGCGCCCGTCGTCTCCCCAGCGCCTGCGCAGAGAGGTCGCCGAGTGGCGTGAGGCGGCCCACCGCGCCGCGAGGGGGGAGGCACTTGTGTGTCTTTTAGGCTGCGGTTCTCTGGGGAGGGCGAAGTGAAGCAACGCTGGGTTTCCTGCGGGGGGCGCCCTCGTCGCCACGGCTGGACGCAGCTCGAAAAATTTGTGCGTTTGGACTCAGGGAGGGGTCTGGGGACCAATTCTGGGCTTCCGTTGTCTCGGCTCGCCCTCGTCCGAGCGATTGCCCATCTTCTCGGGTCGGGCGACAGGTTAGGAGGCGGGAAGGGGGGATTGCGAGGCGTGCTGAGTGCAGTTGGTTCGGCCCCGCCAGGCGCTTTCCTGGACGCATTGGCGCTCTTAGCGCTGGAAGGCGCTGGAGGAACCAGCCACGTGAGCTGATCCGCTGACACCTCCCCTTTTTGCTCCACCCCCCTTTCGTCCGGCCCGACCTGTGGATCGTGTCTGGTCCTGGCCTATGTGGCCCCAGAGTTTCCATAGATGGTAGGCTGGCTTCCAGATCACCCCTCAGGCCCAGCGAGCCCCACAGCGAGATGGACAGAAGCCGTGCACGTCAGAGGTGCGTTAGCAGTATGGTGAAACGGAGATGGCTGGCTGAATCCACGAGCGTGCTGCTGCAACTCTGATTCAGGAGCCCAACATGACGCGAAAAGCTGGGGGCCCCTTGAGCACGGACCATTTTTGGCAACACCCAGCTAGAGGCAGGCCGTCCACGTCCACTTCCAGCAAGTTCGGCCCCACCGCTGCGCGCGTTCCTCGATACATTGCCCACGCGAGTTGATTCGCTGCCCCCCCCTTTGCTATTCACAGCCTCGCCTCCCTTTTCGTCCAACCCGATCTTTGGAGGAGACGTGCAGGCCGTGCACGTCCGACCCCAACAAGTTCGCTGACCCTCCTGTCGCTATCCCCTCATTGCTGACTCGCTGTCCTGTCCTTTGCTGTCCCCCCGCCTTTCCGACCCGATCTTGACAGGAGACGGGCAGGCCGTTCACGTCCGCTCCCAACAAGTTCGAGTCCCTCGCCGCCCACGACGCGGTGGTGGAGTGCTCGGGGGCGCTCAAGACGGTGGCTTGCAGCCTCAACAAGATTGCCAACGACCTGCGGCTGCTGGGCTCGGGCCCTCGCTCTGGGCTCGGAGAGCTGAGTCTGCCGGAGAACGAGCCGGGCAGCAGCATCATGCCGGGCAAGGTTTGCCAGGAGTGAGGAGGAAGAGAGGAGGAGGAGGAAGGAGGAGGAAGGAGGAGGAAGAAGGAGAGATGATGATGATGATGATGATGATGATGATGATGATGATGATGATGATGATGATGATGATGATGATGATGATGATGATGATGATGATGATGATGATGATGATGATGATGATGATGATGATGATGATGATGATGATGATGATGATGATGATGATGATGATGATGATGATGATGATGATGATGATGATGATGATGATGCCTTGTACTTGTACGGAAATCCTTGAGAGCGGAGTGGGACAGCCGTGGCAGCATCCTTGCGTCTTCCGTCCTACCTTGGCTCTAGCTTCAAAGGCGCGGCTCCCGCGGCGGACCCCCCATGTTCGAATGAGTGGGCGGTGCCGCGCGGGGGAGAGTACGCCGCGCAGAGCTTGGTGAACTGCATCGCGCGGCGCCCAGCCGCTGGCTGTTCTGGTTCGTGTGCGGCGTGGGCTTCGGGCTTGCGAGGGCCGCTGCGCTGCGGAGCGCTTGGCAGGCTGCTCGGTGCCGCGGCAGGCGCAGGCGGGCGGCCATCCAGGACTACGTGGACCGAGGGCCTGCCCCGGTGAAGGATGGCGACGTGGGCGTACATGCCGTACATCAGGGGCGGCCCACGGCAGGTCTGTCATCAGAGGCTGGTGCTCGGGCAGGTGGCGCTATCGGTAGCTAGCCTCTTCGTGATCGGCACCCCCGACCTGCACGGGCACGCGGAGGTCTACAGTGCCGGGTCAGCCGTCGTCGCGGCCGTGAGGTGGGCAACGGCTCTCAACGCGCTGCCGGGCGGCCTCCCTCCCGGGGACGTCTACCGCTTCTGGGCGGGGCCGACGGTGGTGCAGCGGGCCGCCTTCTTCGCCGCGGCGGTGCCCGAGGGGGTTGTGGCTGTTGGTGCGGCCCACGGCCGTAGGGCTGCCGGCTGGGTGGCCGACGAGTGCTTCGACGGATTCCGCGACGGGGACGACGTGGCGCACCAGGCCGGAGCAGGCGCCATCGGGGACAAGGACATCCACCAGCGGGCGGGCGGCTCTGGCTTCTTCGGGCAGTTCTTGCGGCCGAGCGACGTACAGGAGTTCTTCGCCCGCATCGTGGCCGTCGACGCCCGCTTCCTGCCGGTGCGCCGCCACGGGCTGGGGCGACGGGGGCGAGCGTGGGCGGACATGCTTGCCGCTGCGACGAAGGAGGATTTCGACAAGGACTGGTCGCTCAGTGGCGACCGAGCGGCCGAGGGGAGCCTGGAGCACATCAACTCGGAGGGCAACGGCTTGGGAGTTCACCACGATCGGATTCGATCGCTGTGTCGCCTGGTGCCCAACGCCTGGGAGACGGCCGAGCTCCTCCACCTCACGGCGGCGGACGAGGCCGGCCTCCTCGGCGTCCAGCTCAACGGCGCGAACCTCGTCATCAAGAAGATGCTGCTGAAGAGGATGCAGACCATTGAGGTCGCCCACCTGGAGTGGGCTAAGGAGGCCGCGTCAAGAGGATACGGTGGGCGTCTCAGCGTCGAGGAACGACGCGCGTTCCCGGGGCCCTGCTGGGGCTCGGGGCAGCTGATGATTGGCCCAGAGCTCCTGATCGTGGTTTTTGTCGACGTGGAGCGGGAGGCGCAGCTCAGCACGGCCCTGCGGAAGGGCCGCAAGGAGCGAGACGCAGCCCGCAAGAAGGGCGGGGACGACAAGTCGTGAGCCTCCGCCGACTCCCACATCTGAGGTTGGCTCGCGCTGCTCTGAGGGTGCAGTGCCGGCCTCTTGTTCTCTGTTCGCCCTCCTCCTCCTGTCCTCTGGGCTTCTCCCCCTCATGCACACATCTGCGCCTCGCGCTCCTGGCGTCCGGGAGGCGCGTGGGCCCCGAGTGCCGCCGCCCTTCGAAGCTTTTAATTACGGGGACGAGCCCTCCCGCGCGGTGCCTCGCGACATCTTGCCGCTGCCGCGGCCGGCGGTGGAGCGGTATCGGGGTACCGACGGGGGGCTCTCCCGCGCCGTCCGACAGCGTCTGGGGAAGCGCGAGAGTTTTGAGATGGACTGTGACCGTGCCGCCCACGCCTTGAACTCGCTCTATCTCCACCAGGACCAGCCCCCCGTCGGCCAGGGCGCCGACCGTGCAGTTTTTGTTTCGCTGGGCCAGCGCCGCTGTCTCGATAGAGTTCGGGACTCCGTCGTTGCTCTCGGCCCGCCTCCGCCGGAGGTCACTCCCGCAGAAGCTCTTCGGAAGCTTCGCGTGGCGAGCTGGTATGATGTGGATTCTGCCGTGCTCGGTTCCTATAACCTCGCTAGCGTCTCGCTCCCCTCTGGCTCGCCCGCACCGGCACCGCTCGAGGATCTGTGGGGCGCGGGCGGGTCGGACGTGATTAGGGACTTCGTCCAAAGCCGATTGCTACCGTCTAGTGAGGTAGAAACTTGTTTGAAAAATTCCCAGGTGGCGGTGCCATATAGTGATCCGAAGCTGCGTCGGGTCGCGGCCTTTGAGGAGTTCATCCGTGCACTGCAGCAGCGTGGCACGGTAGATTTCAGCTTCTCGGCCAAGGAAAGGGTTGAAGCTTTTTCGTGCACAAGAAAAATGGGAAGCTCCGGCTGGTAGTGGGCCGTCGTAGAAGCAACTGTCATTTCCAGGACCCCGCCCCCGTTTCCCTCCTCGCTGGCGAAGGCCTGGCTGGGCTGGAGCTCGGCGAGGGAGAGGAGTTGCATGTTGGCGGGGCCGATTTGTCCGACGCTTTTTATCATATGCAGTTGCCTCCCGATTTGAGGCCGTTTTTCTGTTTCAGGGCCGTGCGGGCGGGGGCGGTGGGGTGTACTAGAGTCAATGGCCAAGCCGTTCCTCCGTCAGCCATGGTCTACCCTCGACTGTCTGTGATACCGATGGGCTGGAGTTGGGCCCTGTGGATGTGTCAAACGGTCCATGAACGCATTGTGGAACAAGCCGGAGCTTCCCCCGAGAACCGCATTGTAGATAAGCAGGTGACGCCGGACCTTCATCGCGCGTGCCATTCGCAGTATGTGGACAACTTCATTGCCGTGTCTACTGACGCCAGTGCGGTTCGCTCTCTCGTTGCCGATGCTATTCGTGCTCTTGAAGGGCGGGGACTCGTCGTACATGAGGAGGAGTATTCTGGGGAGGACAAGGTGGCCCAGGTTTTGGGGTGGCAGATCGACGGGTCCCGGGGCCGCGTGGCTGCCACCCCTCTCCGCCTCTGGAGGGCCCGCCTGGCTATTCGGGCGGTCCTCCGGAGGGGGCGGTGCTCTGGGCGTGACCTGGAGCGGCTCCTGGGGCATCTCGTCTTCCTCTCCCTGGTCCGCCGGGAGGGGTTATCGCTGTTCTGGTCGTGCTATGCCTTCGTCAGGAAGAATTACACCCAGGAGGAGCGTCTGTGGGCTTCTGTTCGTCGCGAGCTCTCACTCTGGGATGGGCTTGCACCTCTCTTCTGGCGGGACCTACGGGCGGGCTGGAGCGACGAGGTGGTGGCCGTCGATGCTAGTGAGTGGGGGCTGGGGGCGTGCGCCGCACTGTGTGGGGGCTCTCTTGCCCGGAGCGTCGGCCGGACCTCGGAGCGGTGGCGCTGGGGTCGGGTCGGCGCGGCCATGGGGCCTCGTCGCCACGCGCTGGACCACGCTCGAAAGGCCGAAGCGGCGGCGGCCCTGGCAGGGGAGGCCCGCGAGGCTGCCCCCTGGATTGCCGCCGCCAACGACGTCCCAGGGCCCGAGTGCGCTCCCCCCCAGCCCCCGTCGGCTGGCTCAGGTGTCCTGGACAGCCCCGGTGACGTCTTCGGGTTCGGTCGGGTCAAGCGGGTCGTGGACTTCCCAGAGGTCCCGCGGGAGATGATCGAGCTGCGGTGGTCCGTCGTCGGTCGCTTCCCGTGGAGGCGCAAGGGGGAGAGTATCGCCGTCTACGAGGCCAGGGCCACGTTGTACGGGTATCGCCATCTTCTTCGTTCGTCGCGGAACCTCGGGAAGCACGTGCTGGTCCTGGGGGACTCGCAGTCGACGGCCGGGGCGGTGACTCGGTTCCGGAGCGACAGCCGAAGCATGATGCGGGTCACCCAGGCGATCGCGGCCCTCTCGCTCGCTACCGGTTCGGCCTTGCACTATCGGTGGTTGCCCTCGGAGTGGAACGTCGCGGACTCTCCCTCCCGTGGCCTCTGGGCTCCAGCTGCTCCGAGCCCGCTCGATTTCTCCAAACATGCTCCTGCGGGCCAGACCCGCGCCGACCTCGACTGGCGCTCGGATGGCGCCGCCGGCGGCGCCTGCGGCGTCGCTGGCCTCGCCGCTGGACAGACGGGGGGCCACCCGATGGGGCCATGACGGCGAGCCTCTCTACGTCAGCACGGGGCCCCGGCCCGTCGCGCCGCCAACCAGCCGCTGCCCGCCCTCCTCCAACCAAGAGGAAGCGCCAGACGGCGGCCGACGTGGCGGCCCGGCGGAGGGCCTCGGCCGTCACAGTGGGGGGGTCTCACGGTGCTGGAGAGCGCCTCGGTTCGGCCTCGGACCCGCCAAAAGTACCAGTCGCGGTTCGCCGAGTTCCTGGCGTGGCTTGCCGCCCCGGTTGCGACCTCGGAGGCGGGCGTCGACCACCAGCTCGTGGGGTGGCTGGACGCGCTGTACCTGAACGGCGAGAACCTGGGGTCGGCCCAGTGGGGCTTCGCGGCGGTGACGTTCTTCACGGGCCTCCAGAAGTCCGCAGGGGCTCTCATGCCCAGGAGCCGGAGGGCCCTCCAGGGGTTCAGGCGCTGCTGCCCTCCCCAGTCGCGGCTACCGCTGCCGCGCGAGGTAGTCGCCCTGATCGCCAACGAGCTGGTCAGATCGGGGAAGCTGCCCTGCGCGGTCGCGATCATCCTGATCTTCGAGCTGTACCTTCGGCCAGGCGAGATCTTCAGTGTGAGGGGGGTGGACCTCATACCCCCAGTGCCGGGCGTGGCAAGTGCCCCCTGTTGGGCCATCACGCTGCGCGCGCGGGAGGTCGGGAGGTCGTCAA